TAACCTTATTGATATTGATTCCGATATTGCGAAGGTATCCATTTCACTGGAGGTTGACACTTTGGTCGCTACTAAGAGTCAATTACTTGACTTTATTGAGCAAGACCCAGAACTATGTTTCGCACAGCTTCAGCATTTCCCTGACTGATACAACGTAAATTCAGAGAAACTGATATACAAGGACTTGTGCTCCACTCTTCCCCTCTCAGTCAGTAAAGAGGTTCTTGACCTCATGATCACTACCCCCGACAAACAACCTTATTCCACGCTCAAGCGTGCGAAAATAAGCCGTCTATCAGTGTCGTTTTGAGATTTTCTTCCTTATTAGTTTAATCTTTCATATTGTGCCTCCTGCTTTGATTTGCTGATATGAAGTGTGATAACTTGGACCGTTACACAGTAGTGCTAGGTCCCACGTTGGTGCTTGCTGCCTGATCTGGGTTTACTGTGTTCGCCCTGGGTAGTTGTTGACTAAGATTTCTAGTGGTAGTGGAAATGGGACAACAATAGGAGATGAGGCTGAAGGGTAGTTGGATATGGTCTTCCCTTTTTCTTTTTTGCCTCTCATCTATCTCTGGAATTCTGCATGATTCCAACCCCCATGCAAAATTGCTTACTGCTTCATTTCCTTTTCCTTCATAACTGTATCTGAGATCCGCATCCACTTTGTTCACTCAGGTCACCGGTTTAAATTGAATGCAATTACTAGTACGACGTCTAACAACACTTCTATTGATCATGGTTTATCAATGTTTCCTAAGTGAAGATCGTAGTGTATATCGTGTAAGCGCATCAATTATAATAGTCACTCCTCCTCAGTCTCCTAGTTGGCATGCGCTAATTTCTCTGAGTTAAAGGTGTTAAAATGATGATGAATTTATAAAATGCTACCTTATGTACTCCTGAAAACAGATTTTGTACTCTACCCAATGTATCACTTGTAAGGTGACTGTGTGATTTTTCTGTGCTGTTATTATATCACATATTTTAAAAGTTGTTTTATGAGTTATCAGCTGATATGCTTTCTTCGTGCTTGAAATCCCAGTAGTAAACTTAACAGGGAGTTCTTAATGTCCGTCGAAATTTAATCCAAGCACCATGTTCTCTGAGTTCTCATTCCGTACACCCCTGGGATTTGTATTTCTTGGTTTTATCAAACAAATAACAAATGTGACTCAGTGTTGTAAATGTTTATGTCCTGGGCTGTGATTCACACTTACTGTGTGTGGGGATTTCGACCTTACTCAGCTGCCCAGACCAATTTAGGTGGAGTGGGACTTGAACCTCAGATATATTACTTCAAACTCGAATGTCTAGGCCAATCAGCCAGCTTTCTCACGGTTGCAGAGTCTCCTTACTGATGTTTAGCAATGAGATCTGGGGTTTTCTGCCGATTGACTCTTGAAATCTAACTTCAATTCATAAAAATTGCCTCAGGATTCATCGAGTGATTTTATCATCCGTCCTTGTTTTCACATTGCGACTCAGTGGTTTAAAGAGTTGACTTTCAACTAGTTGGTCACGGTATACAAGAATGGTGGTAGAGTGCTCTTAGTCAGGTTAACGGAAGTGTTAGCCAGTATATGGGAATCAAATACGATCCCCTCCGACTGGTCTAAGTCACTCATCATCATCCCAGTCTTCAAGAAAGGCGAGAAGTCCTCTTGTGATAACCACAGAGGAATCAGCCTGACGAACATAGTGTCTAAGATCCTAGGTTCTATAATTCTCCGACGCCTGAGTGGAGCTCGGGAACAGCAAGCCCGAGAAAACCAGGCAGGCTTTAGACCTGGCCGTGGATGTATCGACCAAATATTCACACTGCGCCAGGTCCTGGAACATAGGCGAGTTGTCCAGGGAGCTATACTCATCAAGTGGTGTCCGTCAAGGATGCCCACTATCCCCATTCTTATTTAATTTTATCATAGATATTCTTATGGAGGTTTCCCTCTCGTCACCTAATTACAAAGACGTTGACCGGATCACAGGTGAATTTTCCTTAGATCTAGAATATGCAGATGACATAGTCCTGTTAGGTGAAGACGCTGACAAGATGCAGAGTCTTCTGAACACTTTGAGTGGGAATTTGAGAATGTTTGGGATGCGATTTTCACCACCCAAATGCAAATTTTTGCTCCAGGACTGGTCTTCAGCGGTACCGCGGTTAACAATAGAGAGTGAAGTGGTTGAGTGTGTTGACCACTTCACTTACCTGGGAAGTAGGATCAACCCTGGTGGGTTAGTTGCCGATGAGATTTCTGCACGGATACAAAAGGCTCGATTGGCTTTTGCCAATTTGCGCCACCTATGGCGCCGCCGTGATATTCGTTTGTCTATTAAGGGTCGCGTGTACTGCACAGCAGTCCGCTCTGTTCTACTGTATGGCTGTGAAACATGGCCATTGAAAGTGGAAGATTCAAAAAGGCTTCAGGTGTTTGACCACCGTTGCCTTCGTAGTATAGGACGTATTCCGTGGTGTCACCATGTGAGTAATGCAGAAGTTAGGTGTAGAGTTTTAGGGAGAAGAGGTAAGTCAGTCGACGAGGTTGTGAACCTTCATCGACTGAGATGGTTGGGACACGTACTACGTATGCCTAGTCACCGATTGCCTCGTCACACAATGTTGGCTGAGGTGGGTTCAGGCTGGAAAAAGGCCCGAGGTGGCCAGACTAAAACATGGCACCAATGTATGAAGTCTCTGACTGTTGGTTTAAGCCATGTAGGACGATGCAGACTAGGTGGTTGGGGTCCACGGGACAAGAGGAACCAGTGGTTGGAGACCCTAGGTGATATGGCTCAGAACCGAAGTCAGTGGCGCAGATGTATACACACATTATCCTCATCTTAACAACGCTATACCGAATCTCACCATTTTGTCACTCCTTTTTCCTTTCTTCTCGCACTTTATGTTTCTTTTGACTGCATTCACTTATTTTCATCCTTCACCTCACTACCTTTTTACTTGATGTGCTGATATGAGGTGTGGCAACTCGGACCGTTACGCAGTAATGCCTGGTCCTATGTTGATAATGATGATGATGATGAGTTGGTCATGGGTTCGAGCACTCCTTCACCTACTGAGGTTTGGGCAACCAGGTAGTATCATTAACCCTCTCATGGTGGGTAGGGCTCATTGTCTACTGCACGAGTGTGTACAAAGTTTCTGGGTGGAAACGAGATTCGAGGTACCTCTTCTAACTTGTGATTAAATATGCTCATTCTGTACGCACCTTAGATGCACTAGGAGCATTGACTGGGTGATTCATAGGTCTTCCTTTTCTAAACTACCAGCACATAGTTCCATTTTCGTAATGTCTTTCTTCCGAATAGTGTGTAACCAGTTGTAGTCACGCGCTGATCGCTACACAGAAAAAAAATCAATATTTATTACTTGTCAGTGTGAATTGTTGAAAACCACACACTTCAAATACAGGTACTCAGGTATCATATCGAGGTGGTCCAAATAAGCTTCATTTCTTTGGAAGTGTGAAGTTTCATCTTATTTATATGTTCCATTAAAATGTGATTGAAACGGGTACAATACATTTGATTCAAATGTCATTGAAGATATCTCTTGAAGTTTGGTAAGTTTTTCCTGATAAATGAAATAAATGGAGTATTTTGAAAGTAATCAGCAAGGCATTTGGAAACTTGCTGTGGTATCGACGATGAATTTCGATTGAAATGGAATTGATCTGTTCAGTTTTCGTTCGAACCACCTGGATAAAAAAACGTTTTGTTGAATTTTAACACAAACTGCAGTATTATACAGTAACTGCTAAACCAGTTTGCTACATGAATGAATTTTTACTTAGCCTGTAACTGTTCACTAGTTCAATTTGGTTGGCCAAAAGTAATGTTATTGCAGTAAGCCTACATAGCTCGTTTGACTAAATATTTTCAATGTTCAGTCTGACTGTATAAGAAGTAAACATTTTGTGTCTTTTTCTTCACACTGACTTGAGCAGTACAATGATATCGAGCTGTATAGGGTAGTTGAAAGGTTTCAAAGTTTGTCGCAATAGAGTGGAGGCATTTATACAGTCTTGTTGTTAAGTTTTCCGTGTATTCTTTACTTTGGCTTCTTTACTAGACCTGGAGATGTAGCTCAGTAACTTAGTACTGAGCAACAAATTTAAACCCACTCTTGCCAATCTATTACGAGCGACCGAAAAGCACCAGAAACCTTCAAACGTGTCACTTAGCCCTAGTGTATGTAAATGTACTGCGTGACTCAGTCACATTCCTATTGTACATTGTAGTTTCTTCATGGTTTTGAGTCTGCATGGCATGAAATCATTTCATCTAGAACCAATCTGAGGATGTTTGTATCCTAAGTATTGGTCACTTACAATGATAATGACTCATGTTTATGAGTTGTTAAGGCATTCGTAGTTACGTGACGGTCTTGTTCTTCATTAACCTTTGTTTGTGAAATCTTTTCGAAAATCTGTCCATACACTGAGCCTATTTCTGAACGATCGCGCAATTTCTTGTTTAAAAATATGTTTAATTGGCCCAGGTTCTTGAATTCAAACCTGTAGCTTATGGATTCGAAACCGAATGTATTTTCAAACTTTTGGGCAGCCATATGGTATTATAGAGCCTCAAGCAGCAGGTGATGCTCATGTCATGTTCCTTGGCTGGATGCGTTTTACTGATATGTAGTTTCAAAAACAGTCTAAATGAAGAGAATATTTTTTCAACAAATGTTCATTAGGTTGTACAGATATAAAATAGTATCAATATTCATAAGTGTTTAGTGCCATGATATTGGAAGTTTAGGTGTTTAAAATGATTTTCATAAAATAGTCATCATTATTTCATACTCTTTCGAAGAAGGATGTCTTGGCATGGTTACTTGAAAAGCTCATTGTGCTGTAAAATAATCCTTGTCTTTTGATTATCTCTCTATAACACTACTGAAACTAATTATTATTACCTATGTTCAGCAGCAGTTTCTAATGTTATTCGGATTTCGCAATTTTCTCACATTTCAGCGTTATTCTTTTCAACGTAAAGCTCTTGTTATCTCTACTTCTGGTTATTATGAACCACATTGGTCTAGATAATACAGTTATAGTGAACAGGTTTCAACGTGTCAATCCTTTTGACGGTAGCACACACGAACACCAGAGTGCAATTTCTGCTTTATATGACGGTATGTCAAATATTTGCGTAATTTCCATACAGCTTCACCAGTTGTGGAATGTTCCGAGAAAGGGTTCCTGGAATCTTTATCTAGTGACTACTTCAGTGTACCATTCGTAAGTTTGTTTCATTATAATGTAGTGATTCAAATCACTGAGAATTCTTTTATCAATCACAAACATTTATATTTACCCTTTTTAGATACATGTTAATGAGAATTCGTCCGTTGAAGAGTTGGAGGATGCAATTCTCAAGTGCAAGCACATGTTCTTGGCTTTGCCAAAGGAGTCATCAGGAAGAAAAGAGCGCCTTTTGGACCGTTTGATCGAACTAAGGAGGATATTACAGGATGTTAAGGCGAGTTGAGTTGTCACTCTTTGGTCTCAAATCTTAGGTAAAGTAGCCAAAAGTCATTCCTAGTAATATAGATGCTTTGGTTTCATTATTTGGTTCAGCTAATTGAACTATGCTTTTATTTCTTGTGACGGCCAGTTCTATTATGTCTTATTTGACCAGTTTTTAGTGCCTGAATCGAATGAAAAGTTTTCTAAAATTACAACTTTGAAGGTAAGTTAACTGGTCAGTAGTAGCGTGCAAAAAATAAGTGAACAGGAAGTGGTATCAAAGTAAACAAAAGTGTACGAGAGGAGAAGGGATTTCAAAAGGCGGGTCAGTGAAAATGTTTAACCTTTAGAAGACGTCGAAGGGTGAATACATTTGAATACCCCATTGTGATCGATTTCCAGCCGTGTCACCAAGAGTCTGCAACCATTAATTGGCATCATCTCAGGGGCCCTAGTCAGGCAGTCTACACCTCCCTACATAATTCACAACAACAGTCAGAGACTTCATGGACTGATGCCACGGTATTGGTCTGGCCAGTCTGAACCCTCTTTCAACCTGATCCAACTCCTCCCAGTATAGCACGTCGAGGAAGGGGGTGGCTCAACATGTGCACACCCATCCAAGCCTCCTAAGTCAGTGTGGATTTACAACTTCTTCGACTGACTTTCTTTATTTACCTAGTACCATTTACCTTGACTCGATATTACTGACACGGTGATCCCACCAGACTTGAGCAATGCTACGAATACATCTTTGATCAAAAAGCTGTGATCTCTGGATGTCACATGTTTTCCAACAACCATGTTTCACAGCTGTATAGCGAATCAGTACGAACTGCAGAGGAGTATACTCGTCCTTCAATAGATAATCGGATATGTATCCTGTTTTGTACTCCAGATGACGCATGTTTGCGGATGCTGAACGAATCTTCGGTATCCGAGTTGAGATTTTGTCAGCAACCAACCGGTTTGGGCTGATGCAGCTCCTAAGTAAGTAAAGTAGTCGATATATTCCAACGCTTCACTCCCTATCATTAAACTGAGAGTGGTTGCAGACCATCACTGGAGCATCTTACATTTAACGGGCGCGGGACGCATGCCAAACATACTCAGATTTCTGCTCCAGGGATTCAGAAGACGCCACATTTTGTCAGCGCCTTCACCTAGCAGGACAATATCATCTATTTACTCCAAGTCAACCTGATGCCCTCCCTATCTAAGAACGCTTTATTCAATTGCAGAACTCTGTGTTTTACACGAAATCAAATTTTTTATAGATGAACTAAGGTCATCTTCGCTATCATTGTTTCTACAGTGGTATGAAATCATGCTGTTAGTTAATCACATGAAATTCCCTCGTTGTCATTTAAGTCAAACAGAATTACATATTTTCTTTTAATTATCACCGCGTAGCCTTTCTTCATTTTCATGCATTCAACGAAATATCTCTCTGCTCGAGTCTTATCATTTTATTGGATCAGATGCTTATCATCTCTTTTAAGTGCATGAGTGTGTTCATTGGTTACATGATATACCTTTTAGGTCGGTAACTATGACGTGTGCTTCTAACATTTGAATATTCGCCAGCAGCCTTCTCTGTCCGTTTCCATTTTTGTAAAGTTTTTAAAGATTAGACTAAAACCCAATGAATTCATTCATTCTTCTATGATTGTTTAGCTTCAACCTAATTTAGTGAAGATTCTCTCCTAATGTTTGCTTATGGTCAACAAAAGTGGAACCTTAGCGAGGATTGCGAGAACGACTTGGAATAAACTGCTTAATTATTAACCCTGAAGTACCGTCAAGAATCATATTTTGAAATGATAGTGGCGTGATATTAGTATTCCAGTGAGAATTTCGGCAATTTCGCGTTCCAAGTAAAAGATGGTTAATGCTATAGGTTTCATCAATGTTATCGATAACAACAGGATAGAGTTATACAAGGTTGAACTATCCATATTAAGTAGAATAACATTACTCAAAGCAACTGTAAAGCTAAGGCATGCACTGGAAAGCAGTGCTCTCGGTTCCACTATGTAACTGGGAAACATGATCAAGTGATTCCGGTATTTGACTGACATAGTCTTCGTAACATCTCGCATATGGTGGAATCAGTATGTTAGCATTTCGAAAGCTAGATAAAAGAGTTAAGTCGACTAGCAGGGTTATCGAGCAAGACAAAAATTTGATTTTAGTGGCACAAAAGTTCTACAAAAAAAGTTTTAGTTCATGCCTAGACGGATTGACTGCCAAGGGCCTTCATATATGGGCAAATCCAAATAGTTCGAACAAATGCGGTGAGATGCAGCGAGTTTTCGCTTGACAGATGTCTACTAACATGTAGGAAGAGTGACTTTTGTGTTTACTTTCATCATCAGTCTCATCAACATAAAGCGCAATCTAGAATGTTTTGATGTATTATCATTGTGATCATGATTGTTCATTTCTACTTTATTTTAACAATATAATGGAGATTTTAGAATATTAATTCATCCTGTTTTGGCGCATATAATTACTATATTAGTATGCTTTGAGCCTACAACTGAACTACAAATGTTAATTTTGACCTTACCTCATATTTTCACTGAAGGAGGATGAGAATCAGAACACACAGACATATAACACAAACATACAACTTTACATAGAATGACTAGCAATATTTCAAAAACAATGATTTCTAAGACAGAATCAGACAGGAAGATTCAGCACACTTTTTCACCTCATTTGCATGTCTTTGATCTTTTCATTACGATTATTTCCTTAAAAGCGCTCTTAGCAGACTTCCACGCAAAACTTAGGAATTTTTAACTTAGAGCACACTGAGGTTGATACGAATGTAAGCAACACCTATTGGAATAAGATTCAGTTTGAAAGTGGAGAGTGATGAGAATGAGAATATCTAATTGCTCATTAGAGGTATGTAGGCATGTATATGTTTTCTAGTTAGTATCCACATGATTATTGAACTATGTAGTTGGGTAATTCGGTTGGTTGTAGGTAACAGAAGAGTCCAGGCGCGCGTTTCGTCCTACTTAGGACTCGTCAGCTGGATGTACCTGCATCCCAGTGATGTTGTTTCTATTGGGACTCGAACCTCGTACCCATCGCTTCAAACGCCAAGGCGTTATCCACTATGCCACAGAGGAAGGATAGACGCTTCTTGTACAACGGGTGATAGTTATTACTATTTATTGACATACTTGTTATTCTCCTTTGTTTTATTGGATCGAATTGTTCGACCTGTATTGGCATATGGGCTCCTATGCGGATACCTCGATATTGCCTGAATGTTAATTATGATAATTCAGTTGGTTGTGGCATTGTGGATAACGCCTTGGCGTTTGAAGCGATGCGTACGAGGTTCGAGTCTCAGTGGGAACAACATCACTGGGGTGCAGGTACATCCAGCTGACGAGTCCGAAGTAGGACGAGGTGCGCATCCTGAATTCTTCTGCTAGCCACAACCAACCAAATTATCATAATTAACATTCAGGCGATATCGAGGTATCTGCATAGGAGCCCATATGCCAATAGAAGTCGAACAATTCGACCCAACAAAACAACGGAGAACAACAAGTATGTCAATAAATAGTAATATGTAGTTGGAGATAACTTATAAACCCTTATTCGCCTTACCTCATTTTGTTTATGTCCTCTATTCTTTCATGACAGTTAATATCATCATGATTTCTCTGTTTTTTCTTTATGGCTTTCACTCGTACTCACTGGTGTAAGCCGTTGCAACTTCGAACGGTGCGTACTTATACCTGTTCCTATTTCTCCCTGTCAGTGTTAGCTGATAAAAAAGATCTAGTGTTTCCTCACGAGGTAGCCTTTTAACCATTCTTGTTCCTAACTGTTGAACATATTCTAACTTAAATGCCTTCACATATGAAACCGGTTGACCTGCATTCTATGCCACGACTCAGGTTCAGTATGCACCCATTATAATACCTGAAACTCTCTGAGGCCTCTGCCAGGTCCCACAAAGAGACTACAGAATATGAGGAAATTCGGCTTTTGTTATTCAGAAGTTCAGTATAATTCTAATTGAGATGGGTCACGTGGGACCTGCCAGAAAAGTCTGTCAGTTTATTTTGCCATAATTCATCAGAATAGAATGAAATCTTTTATAGATATATTAAAATGCAACTTAGCAAAGACGTGGGCGTTCATGCAATAGACAATGAGCTACACATATTGTGTCAAGTTTAATGACTGCCCAGACCTTAGTAGGCGGAGCAGGTTTCGCACCTATGATTTGGTTTGAAATTTAGTACCTAGACAAATGGACCACAACTTCACACTTTAAGTGGAAAAAGTTGTGAAGGTATGGCATTCGACTCAGCCAATGGATCCCAGTGTCAAACCGATCTCCACCTACCACGCTCTGGGAGACCGGGTAGTATAATAGACCCTAAAACAATTAGTATGGCTTTTAGTTTGATAATAATAATTCACTTTATTCCAAACAATTTGTGGTACAATTTGGAATTCTCAGCGTAATATATATTGCAATAACAACAAAATATAAGTATATACATACCACTTTGCAGCCTTTTGAATTGTTTTATTATAAAAATTTAAGTTATGTGAAGAACATTAAAAACGAGAAAATTTTGCATTGTAAGTTATATTATTGAAATGAGATTTTTAACTGTCACAAAGTTGATATGTGATTTCTGTTCTAACACTTTTCTCCTCACAAAATATACGTGCAAGGTAAGGTACAGTCGAGTTCTTATACTTAACTGTACGAGCATACAGTCTTATGTAGTTTCTCCTTGTCCTCCCTGAGGAGATACATGGAGAGAGCTGTAAATGAAGTGGATGCTCACTGTCAGTTAAAATTTCTGTAGCTAGTAGCTTGCAGGAATTTATATGTTGATCAACTACTGTGTTAATCAGTTGAGCCAGAGACACACCACTCACCCTGCTGACGGTCTTCAAAGCCCTACGCAACATAACATAGTCCTTTTTAAGAAGACCAGGAAAGATTAATGGGGAACAACAGAGAGGAATAGGTAAAATGCAGGAATTGATAAATTGTAAAAGAAGTAGTTGAGTTATACCAGAAAGCCTCAATTTCTTTACGTAATAAGTTAAACCAAAGATTTTTTTACAAGTCAATAAAATATGGGACGACCAACAAAGGTCAGAAGTAAAACGCAACCCAAGATAGTTCATATTCGATTTACTTTCTGCAGAAATACCATTGATGCAGCAGGCGTCATGAGATTTAAGCAGCTCACATAAGTCTTGTTTACGCCTGAGGCTAAAATTAACGGGGTTTAGTTTGAGACCATTTACCAACTTCAGACAAGAATTCATTTAATTTTGAGCAATCCAAAGAAGAGTTTACTGGAATAGAAATCGTCAGGTCGTCAGCATACTTGATAAAATTAGTTTCAACAGAATAAGGCAAATCGTGCAAAAAAAGAAAAACAGAAAAGGAGAAAGTACAGCCTTTTGAGGCACACCAGCTTCAGTAAGCAATGAAGTCGAGCGCCTTCCTTTATGAATAGTGTACTGTTTCCTTTCAGAAAAATAAGAATGCAGCCATTTTGTAAACCATGGCTCAGTGAGAGCTGTGGCAAGCTTATTTAACAAAAGTTGTCTAGGAACAGAGTCAAAGGCTGATGAGTAATCCAAAAAGGCAAAACGGACATACTCAAAACCTTTGTCGAGACTAGAAACAAGATGATGATGCAAGACAGTAGCTGCATCTAAAGTACTCCTCCGGTGTTTGTAAGCAAACTGTTTCGGATCTCTGAAGGCCATCAATGAAGGCTCAATCACAAGCAGAAGTAATTTCTGCATTGTCTTCAGAAAAGGGGAAGTTATAGCGATGGGTCGAAAAGTAACATCTGATCCAGAAGATGGCTTAGGCACAGGTACACTTTTTATCTGCTTCCAAGCAGTGGGTATTATGTTTTTAGAGAACGATACAGATACATAAATATCTGAACCAGGTTGACTTGCATTTAAAAAACTAAACAATTGTTTACCAGAACAAACAAGTTGAATCAGTGAAGGTTATTCCGAATGTTCAGAATATTTGGATGGCAGAGTTTGCACATCTTTACCAATTTGACCAATTCTAAGCAATCTCATTAAGAGTCATCAGCCAATGTCCCGTGTCGTCGTGAGAATTGGTAGCTGGAGGCTTACATCTCCTTGAATAGCTTAGACCAACACTCAGACTTCCTGAACTGATGCCATGTCTTGATGTGACCACCATTAGCCATAATCCTATTTCGCTAACTTCAGAAATCTACGTAGGCAGTGACTCAGTATGCCTAACACGTCCCTAAGCCACCTTGCTAGCTGAAGGTTCACGTCTTCTTTGATTGACACTTACCTAGTACTCTTTGCCTAGGCTTAGCATCGCTCTCTCAGTAACCCTGCCTCATGCAGCCATTGCTACGAAGAAACCTGTGGTTAGAAATCAGTAACTTTTTCATATCTTATGCTTTCAGTAACTATATCTTACAGCCCTATAAAATGGCGAGGCGGACTGCAGTGCGCTATACTAGTCTGATAAGCAGTTGTATGTCTCACCAGGACCGGAGATAACTGAAGGTGTCAGATGCGAAACAGGTCTTTTTCATCGCTCAGCTTCCTATCACTAAGCTGAGAGTAGCTGCAGACTAACCCTAAGGCATCAATTTATATTTCAGAAGTGCAAAAACTCATGCCAAACATTCAGATTTCTGCTCAAAGCGTTCAGGAAACTGCATTTTGTCAACATCTCCACTTAACGGGTCTATGTTATTTGCATACTACAAGTCAACCAGGTGCTCTTCAAGGAGTTACAGGTATGTAGGGTCGAACCCATTCAGAAGTCTATAACAACGTTAAGCAGAAACTGTGACAGTGGATATCCTTGACGGAAACCAATGGTTTTTGTTACTTTGGACGACCGCTTTCCGTGAGCGCTGTTGTGCAGATCTGAAATATATCTGATTTCTTCTAGTTTGTTCTCGAGCTAGAGTTATGGGTCGATTGATTGTTGACCTTGGAACCTTAAACATGCTGTTAGTTGGATGGATTCCACTGTTGTTGTCTCAAGAAAAATTCTCCCTTGTTATAGGGTGGAATGGTTAGCGATGTAGGCGTGTATGACGGGACTCCCTCTGATTCCCGGCCAATAGCTGGTACCTAATTTACTGTAACCAGCAGGATCTTAACCTACATTCTTTTAAACGTCTTGGAGCAAACTGCTAGGTGCTGATGTTTTGCATCATTTCACATTTGAAACACTCTTCTTAACTTCAGTGAGAAACAGTTAATAGTATTTTGGAGTTCAGTGGTGTTTGGGTTTGATATTTGGCAACTGAAGCGTGGCTGTTCGCCAGTTGATTGTTTTTAAAGCATCCGGCTCAGCGTGCAGATGAGGCCCTATCAATATCCTATATATGAAATAGTGCTTAATTTTCTCACATTTTAGCTAGGCATGGAGAGGGTTTACTTTTCATCTTCCGAAATGCAGTCAGTAGGTGTGTAGGTGAAGACTACGAATCCGTATTGATTAGTGTCATAATCGTTTCTCGTTTTTGCAGATCGACATGACTAGAAGACACATGGTTGGCTGTCAGATGGTATCAAGTGGAGAAGTGCACTCTTTTTTTTGGAGCCTTATGTTGTACTTACCACATCGATTACAGAGGAACTAGTTATTTAACTTGTAAACACTAGTAAGGTGGATCGTATGGATTCACTACATTAGTCATTTGAGGTTAAGTGAATGACTAAATTTGGGTTCTGTACGCATGTCCGAGTAATGCATAATCCACACTCATCGTGTGAGATTGCAGACTTTTGGGACTTGAGGCCTATTGTCTGATAGAGTGTAAACTTGGATTTCGAGAGCTCTTTAAGAAGCTTCGTGGTGTTGCTTTGAGGAGACTGGAAATGATTTTTGGTTGGTTTAGATCGTTAGCAGTGATCACATTGTTAGAAGTCGAGTTTACTTTTGGGAGTATCGTGTTGCTGGTAGGAATAGTTAATGAAGGCGATAGAGGATACAAAGGTAGCGAAGGTAAGTTTACTGTAAGATGGGTTATTTATACTGCCGAAAGCGTGCAAACGGTTGATACTTCATGGGTGCTCATGTCATAGAAGTTGTGATCTTGTGAGGTATTCAAAAGGGAGAGTGGATTAATTTTGTTTGATTCCAGAAGCCAATAGATATCTATTTGACGCCGTTCACACATGTTTTTTATGTTGTTTTCGGTTCGACTGTGCTACATGTGTGAACTGAGAAAGAAGCCTTTATTGCTTGCACTAGATTTCTGTGCTGCAAGGTGGAGTCCACTAGTTCACACTCTATTTTTTACTTGTGGAATCTTCAGCTTGATTCTTAGCATCACTTTAAATCATAGTCCTATCATAAATTGCATTGGTAAATCTTATAGGTGACGTCTTCCAAGCAGTTACATTACTCCTTTGCAAATAGGCTGCATCCTTCAACCCATTACAAGATGACTATTTCAACAATTTTAACAAATTATCAAGCAGTAGTTAGCCGCTGATTGCATGTGCTTATTTTACTAAACCTAGCTGACCTATTGGATTCCTCGTCTCAGTCACTGGACGTTCTAAGTTAAATTTTAAAAGCAATGCCTAAAATGACTTCCTTTCATACGAGCATTCATTCCATTCTTGAAGCATCATCTTTGAAAACAAAACCCATCTTTCGTTGCAGCTTTTCGGAGAAACTGCTTTCGAAATCCTGTTTCAAGGCTTCAACTGCGCGAGAATGTTTGCCCTATGAAACTGCATGAAGCAAAGGCACTGAAATAGTTTTGTTGATGTGACACTGAGAATCTTTACTAGTATTTTTACATGTCACCCTAGTTTTCATGATTAACGTCGTATGCAAATTATTAACTCGGCTCAGAACCCATTGCCATGAAATTCTACCGTCTTTCCTTACAGTTTTGACCTTCATTAGCTTGTCTTGTGGTGTACGATTCATAGGAAGTTGATTAGAATATGAGAGAAGTTATAATCTCAATCGTGTCTTTGTGACTATCCCACTATTTATTTATACAACTAACAACATTGACTGCCCAGTCTTCATTTATGGTATACGCCTCAATATCTATGGGGTTTGCCTACCATATACTGGGTTGATGTTAAACGTGGTTATAAACCATGTAATATGTTGTAGATCTAAATGACAACATTGCACTTTCACCTTCTGCTAATAGTCTTATTCCTTAGCTTTAGCTTAAGGTTAAACACCAAAAAACATTGATTAGGACAGAATACATGTCAATGAAGTACACTTACTGTCATTTCTTATACTTTGAGTCTACCAACTACTTTCTAATATTCGCTTTCGTGTTATTTTCATTTCAGTATTCAGACAAACTGTTCCGTATCCCGGATTATTCTGAACAAACTATGGTCACTGTTTCCTTATCAGAGTTCTTTTTTTCGAACTAGGTAGGTAGGTCTGTTTTGAAGCTGCTTAGAATATTGTTCGGGCTGTTTATGAAACTATACTGCTAGTAGTATTGATGACATGGTCTCATTCCGAGCGATCCTGGATTTTGTACTGAGTTGAAACGTCCTTGTTCAATTTCTCCTCGATCCTTTTCTGTTTAAAAATTGTAGTTTTCTCAGTCTATTTCCTTAGGAAGTCTGAGAAACTAACCAAGAATTTAATATTTGAATACTTGTATCATGATTACAAAAGCTACTTGTCAGAATAAGTAAACAGGAATAGAAGTAGTTGAATCTTCATGAATAATCAGTGAATATTCATGCGATTTCATTTATTATTTCTTTCATGTTTGTTTGTAACTGTCAGTGTAGAACTGCTTATTTTTAGAGATTCAGTTTACTTTCACAGTCTGTTCCTAGTTGGTCAACACTTAGTTATTGTTCTACTCAGTCTGGTTGATCAATGTTTTATTTTTCTGGTTTCACAGGAATTCACGGATATGTCTGCCACATCAAGTCGATGTAGCCTTGAATCTGCACCTTCGAGTGTTCCAAACTTATCTCTGTTATCTCGAAATTTATCTCAGGTATCACTGCCCAGTTTATCCTACCGAACAATGAGTCCTGAAGGGACTTGTCCTTCTCTACGCCATACTCCTTATCCTGGTGGTCACGATTTTCAAATGGTTTCTGCCATCCGTTATCTAGCAAGACTTTGTGAATTTTGTGGACGCACTGTTCGTACTCCGACTAGTAAGGTATTCTACTGTCGAACGTGTGGTATTATATGTCATCTTGATGGTTGCTTTAATGAATTGACACGTCGATGTCCAGGTGCATCATATTTATCCAGCAACACAACTAGACGTCGTTTAGGCTCTAGGCGTTTGCGAACCGATAGTGAAAGTGGTACTCATAGAAATTCAAGTTTGTCCTCTGCTACTACTCTCCCTGACCTACGACATAAGATTTCTTTCAAATATTTGGAAGTTTCCAATCTACCTTTTATTTCGGCGAATCTGTCACTACAGTCCTGGATATGTGCAGAGTGCTTAAAACCTATCAACTTCACACCCTCAGATACAGTTTCGTCAGAACATTTGAGCACACCGAATATCGGTAAGACTATGAATGAATTTCTTGAAACAGGTATTGGAGTGCTCATAGGAAAAGCCTTTAAGGATTTCGTACCGAAATCAAACATTGCAGATCGCATGACTCCTCAGTTAAGCTCTCAGCAACCATCATTATCTGCCTATATAATGAAACTTATTTCTCCTGACTCATCTGTAACGGAATCCAGTCTGTCAAATGATCCTTTAAGACAGTATGCAATCTCAGCTTCAAAAGTCACATTCGAACCAATTCAAACTTGGTATGATGCGTGTGTTATGCAAGCATTAAAAAAGGTCGATCGACAAATACCATCATCCCTATTTATCGACATTCAAAATGGACAGTTGAAAGTTGAGAAGCGATCAACTGAGTCGGGTTTGTTAGAGAATTCTAGTGTCGAATCTCCAAGTCTACCAGATCCTGCTCGTTTATGTTACTACTCAGGACGCTTTTATTGTTCTATGTGTCATTGGGGAGATACGTTTCAAATCCCAGCTTGTATGTTTGTCATGGGTGATTACACAGCTAAACCGGTAAGTTCCATTTCTCCACATTCTCGAATTGTACTCAATATATATTCAAGTGCCAGGAATATATTTGACATTCTATCAATAAACAGTGACTGTGAAGACTAGCTTTGAAGATTTTGCGATACTAGAAAGTAGTTGTAGCACACTATCAAGATGATAGCTGTTTTATGTTTTCTCCATCTAGAGATTTTGATAAATTATTACAGACAGGCAGACTAATCAGTGTAAAACGTGAAATCGAAGTGCATCGGTTGAAGTTGACATACTTCACAGCAGCTTACAAAGAAAAAAAGTGAAAGAGAATTCCATTCAAGTTGAAACCAATGTATGAAAGCGAAGAGAGTGAATGGAACACCGTTAATGAAAGCACTCAAAACTTCTGACATAATGGAAAGTGTACACATTGGTGCCACTGTGAGTGACTGTGAGCCCTATCGTCAACAGACTTTAGCCGTTGATTCCTATCCTCTCAAAGACCTCAATCGGTCAGCCTACACCTCTTTATATGGCTCAAACCAACAGTTTCTATGTTTCATTCCCTGTTCTTAAACTAGATAATGCCATTGGATTTATGGTGGATAAGCCAATTGACCCTAGGACATTATAAGTTTTGTTGCTATAATGTTTGTAGCCTCAGAAACGAACATTGTGTTAGAAACGATAGCAGATTAGCTTCTTCCAGATATCACTTAGTTATTGCGTTTTATTGAAATAGGCTAAAGTCCTATATTTCTAGGATATAATTATTTCTGTAGAGTTGATATAAATAGTTATTCAGGTGATTTGGCTCACCCTTTATGTGTAAGAAAAGGTTTGTGTCATTGGCTTGTAACCCTTTCCGTAGAAACCGAAGTGTAGGAAGCGAAGTTGGTGGATTGGTAATAATACGAAATACTAAACAGCACTAAACATGTTTTACCTTCGATCCTTAACAGGTGGCGTGCAGTTTCACTCGAGTAGATGCACTTGCGTCCAGGATAAAAGCGCCGATAAATTATTAATTGGTTAGGTAGATAGCTTCCCCTTCCCTCTATCGATACTTCAATAGTGAACGGAACATCAGTTTAAAACTTGTGCAACACCATAACACTCTAATGTGCCCATGAACTAGAAAAAATCCCACCGGCATTCCACTGGATTATCTTGTTTCACTATCCTAGATCTTGGCGACCAGTCTCAGGCCCTTTTGTAGAGAACCGCTAGGGTTTATTTTGTTGCTTGCATTATCCCGTCGTTGATTAGACCGAATTAATTAGTCTATGTTAGCAGATGGGATCCTGCGCGAATGCCTTGCTATTGCCTGTCGCTTCAGTTTTACCGTAATGATGAATAGAGGCTAGCAGTGGAATTCAAGATGCGCATTTCGTCCTATTCGGGACTCGTCAGCAGCTGAATGTATTTGCCTCCCAGTGAGCGATGTTGTTCCCACTAAGACTGGAACCCGAGCCCGACCTCTTCGAATGCCAGAACGTTACCCACCAGGCCACCAAGTCACCATCCATCTTCACTATAAAGTTAAAACGCCAGGGAATATCGAGGCACCCATACAGGAGCTCATGTGTCAATAGAAACCCATCAATTCGGTCCAAGCAACGGCATCAAAACTACACCCGTCGCACAAGAAGTGGCTATCATGGCTTAGTGGATAATGTCCTGGGTTTTGAAGCAATCAGTCCGAGTCTCAGTGGGAACGACAGAGGCAGGTAAATCGAACTGACGAGTCCTAGATAGGATGAAACGCGCATCTTGGATTCCACTGCTAGCCACTATCCATCATAGCCATTAGGGTTAAAAGATATCCGATGGCCTAGCACTTAACCAAACGATATCTCCAATGACTCCTGAAAATCAACGTCATAAGGACGCGATAAGTAGACTCCGGATGCCTTGTTCGCCTACACTAGGTTTTTCAGAGAAACCTCCGCGAGTGGTTTGATTTCCGAGTCTCTATCACTCTCAATAAGGAGGTCATCAACAGGGAGGTTTAGTACATTCATGTTCATGCTACAAAGATATTGTGTCAGGCCTTATAACCTTAAATTATAGAGCATAGTTTATGACGCTTTCTAGTATCACATTTACTTCGTACGGAGCAAAAAAAACTAGAACAAGAGTATCCATCTTAATTAGTATGAATTTAATGTAAATATCCTTTGCTTGATGTGACGATTCATTTGACAGCAAGTCATTCGTTTAGAAAATGAAGTAAATTTTATATTTGATGACCGCAGTTCTTTTTTGGCCATAGGTCTCGTTGTTTGACTTTGTGCTATATCCCTTGTTATTCTATTTACTTCACTGATTCTGATTTCCAGTAGTTTATTTATTGTGCAAGAGAAAATTTATTTTTCATGTAAAACTAGATGCACTCTTCACTTCTATCTTTGCATTGGATCATTCGATAGACAGTCATCACTTTTTGTGATACTTCGCTATGTAAAAGCCATAAAAGTAATTCTAATATGTATTAATCCCTTAACTGCATTGTACTTTCAATTCTCTATCTATTGTTTAGGTGTGCAGAACTGCTTATTTGTGGTTGAATTATGCTTGGTCACGCCATTTATTCTGTGTTCCTATCTCATGGTATTATCATGAGCCTTTAGCCAGGCAAGTATGTTCTCTTCGATCAAGGATTTTTAGACTCCAACCGTATTTCAGTGTTTGTTCAGTTGCGAGGAAATTTACTTTAGATATTGAAGTAAGGATGATCATTACTGTCTTTTTTTATTGCATAAAGTTATGTATTGCTTGTAAACATTGTCACTTCTCAAGAATTGTTTAGCCCCGAACTTGTACGACTCTTTACTAGATCTTTGAATCTAGTAGAATTTATTCGAATACCACAGTACCTACAAGATGAAACTGTTGTAGCAATCGTAGAAAAGATAAATAGCAGGATCACTGTACCAGTTGACGTCAACTAATCGGAAAACTTATTTTACATTGGTATGAAGTAGATGACGCTCTTTGCTGACCATTCAGCTTCAACCTACGAAGAAACGTGATTTGAATTTTAAAGGCGCTAGAACAAGGATCGTAGCAAAATAATATGCATCCAATTTATTATTTTGGCAGTTCTTGTCAGCTGCTTACAACCTAAACTATCCGAATTCAAATAAAGTCATGTAATGATGTCATAATTAAATATCTTTTGGAACGAAAGTTGTCGTGGTGATTAGATGGGGGCGTAATAGGAATATTGTATGGTTTAGAACAAGAAATTACGCAAACCAGTGAGTGGTAATCAGAAAACAAAATATAAGGGGACGTAATGAGTAGAGTTCACTTAAATAAGATTGGAGTTTAGAGTTAACCAAAAATCTAATGACAAGATAATAATTTGCTAGAAAAAGTGAAAGGTTAGGAAATTAGATTACCAAGGCAGTAGACGATTGAAGACATATTCCTTTTGTACACATAAGTCTGGTTTCCGGCATTTAATTTCAATCCCTTTTGCAAAGCTAAGACGAATTATTTTATTCGTGGATTAATTTGAACGATCGCAGGGTATTTGCTTTATATCCTATGTCCACCAAGTGCATAGTAATTGAACCATTGAGGATACTTGCTCCTCTCAATCATAGACTCTTCAGACCGTATTCAAAATATCGGAGGTAAGCCATTCTTTTAGTTCTACCATAGTAACTGCTCTGGCAGATACACGTAAGCTAACACACACAACTGAAGGTAACATTAGAGGTACCTATCCTTTTTTGGTTGTACCAATGAGCCATAAGTTTGAAGTGATGGGATTAGGCTTGCCGCGTTTATGTACTGCAGTGCGTAGTCTTCTGTTTACCATCATCATGATATCATCTTTGAAATGCAAGTGAATGAAGGTCCACTTCTCACTAACTGTTATTTCTTCAATCTTACTACATTCTCTTCCGCCATTGGTGTCACCACGTGAGTAATGCAGAAGTTGGGTATAGAGTTTTAGGGAGAAGAGGTAAATCAGTTGACACGGTTGTGAACCTTTATCGACTAAGATGGTTGGGACATGTATTACGCATGTCTAGTTTCCGTCTGCCTCATCACACAATGTTGGCCGAAGTAGGTTCAGGCTGGAAAAGAGCTCGAGGTGTCCAGACTAAAACATGGCACCAATGTATAAAGTTTCTGACCGTTGGTTTGAGCCATGTGGGGCGATGCAGACTACGTGGTTGGGGTCCGCGGGACAAGAGGAACTAGTGGTTGGAGACTAGGTGATATGGCTCAGAACCGAAGTCAGTGGCGCAGATGTATACATACATTATCCTCATCTTAAGGACGCTATGCCGAATTCCACCATTTTCTCAATCTTCCTTTCTCTCTTTTCGTACTTTATGTTTCTCTTGACTGCATTCTCTTATCTTCATCTTGCGCATCACTGCTTTTTTACTTGATGTACTAATATGAGGTGTGACAACTCGGACTGTTACGCAGTAATGTCTGGTCCTATGATGATGGTGATAATGATGACCGTTGGTCAAACTTTTTGGGTATCCGTTTTCTTTAAGATAATTCTTGAGAAGCGATAATCCTTCCGTTATGTCCGATGAGCATATTTTTTCTCTCTCCAGAGCAGCGTCCTAACTAGTTAACTCAAATATTTCAATATTATATTGTAATTCGTTACTGTAAGTATTCTAGATTATAAACAGCTGATGAGAACCACCGAAATAATAGAATGGATTCAAATTGTTCTGCTCCAATGTTTGTTTTTGCTCTACTAACGTTGGTAAAGGGATATGTGTACGTAATCTAAACGTCCATAATTATTCTGCCACTCTAATTAAAATCATCTTGAAAGTAATTATCAGTGTCATTGAAAAATATATCAACTATCATAAGTCAGCACATTTTCATTTACAGAAGAACTATCAACCTAGATTTTTAACCATAAAAATAAGTTTGTGTTGCAAATAAGTATATGGTTGAGATATTTGGTTAGAAATTCGACTATTTCATGAAGTTAATTTCAGTGCCTCATATCAAAGTTTCAATCTCTCTCTTCTCCCCTAAATATAGACAAGTTTATCACACTAGTTCACTTACTAGGTGTGCTTCAAAGCTATACATATTTTGGGTTTGGTAAGTTGGTATACGAGTTGCTTACACCTTTGGTCAAAAAGCTGTAATCTCTAGATGTCACATGTTTTCCAACAACCATGTTTCACAGCTGTATAGCGAGTCAGTACGAACTGCAGAGGAGTATACTCGTCCTTCAATAGATAATCGGATATGTATCCTGTTTTGTACCCCAGGTGACGCATGTTTGCGGATGCTGAACGAATCTTCGGTATCCGAGTTGAGATTTTGTCAGCAACCAACCGGTTTGGGCTGATGCAGCTCCCTAAGTAAGTAAAGTAGTCGATATATTCCAACGCTTCACTCCCTATCATTAAACTGAGAGTGGTTGCAGACCATTTCTGGAGCATCATCTTACATCTGACAGGTGCGTTATATACTTGATCAGACAATGCTTCAGCTCATGGCCGACGGAGTCATGCTGCCGCTTTCAGGTCAAGAAGTGTGGAGCGTGTTCGCCCCCAATAGGTACGTTTGTGTTCCAGAACCTGTTGATGCACCCTCACTCAGGTTTGCAACATGCCTGGTTTTCTTGAGTTCGCTGTTCTCGAGCTCCAGATAGGCGTCGAATTACTATGGATGCTGGAATCTTGGACACAATATTAGTCAAACTAATTCGCCTATGGTTGTCACAACAGGATTTCCTTCCTTTCTTATACCCTGGGATGATCAGTGAGGCAGACTAGTCTGATGGGAACTACCTCTAATGATTCCTATTCACTACCCAGTACCTCTGTTACTTTAATAAGCAATCTCCCACCTCTATCCTTGAAAACTTTAAGTGGTAAACTCTCAGGTCGTTCAGTTTTTTATCGTTTCAGCTTTGACACAGCCTTCTGAACTTCAAGCGAAGCTGGAGGACCAACATCTACGTCCCATTTAGTTTCTGGTTGGATGTCAGGCAACTGAAGCGTTTCTCAGGGCCAGTTGAAGTGTGCTTCAGTGTTATGCCTAGCGTTCTACCTCCCTGATCTGGGAGATTATCTTCGTCTCATTTTTTTTGGTGATGGTTTTAATAATTATCGTCTTCTCTCATCTGTCTGCTCCGTTACCTTCACTTCCTGATATTAAGTTTCTTGTAACTACAATGTATTCAACCTTTCACTCTGCATAGAAACCTTATTCCCAGTGTCCTAAGGCCTCAGTGTCGGTTTCATCTTAAAATTACATACCTTATCTCCACGCTATCCAGGGAGTGTTGAGGAACCAACGGAAGTCAACCAGACACGGCTATCATTCACTTCATACCTTCGCGTCACACAACGAACAACTATCCACTTCTTCCGACTAGTCCTTAAAGAAGCCACTGGTGAACAATATGGAAATCGCCGGGGTGAAATTGCTGACATATCCAAGTCACTGAAGCCGGTAACGGTCTAAGGCAGCAGCCTCATCTCAGAATTACTCACATGTTTCCAATGAATATGAGAAACCTAAAAGAGAGAGGAACAATCAGAAATGTACAGTCGTCGGACATCTTCAGTTCGGAGAGATCAGGTTTTGTAGCCATGGGACAAAAATATCCACACATTCACGTTTCGCAGCTAGGTTTTAAAAGACAGGCTAACATCAGGCTGGCGTCAGACGTGATCCAGATTGACATATACCCTTCTAGCTTTTGATAAACAATTCTTAATCTCATCACTTACATCTCTGCCTACACTCACACACGGACTAAGGTACAAAAGCGTTTTGAAGACTCCTAGCTAATCTTATGAAAGCAATTCGCACTCTGACGATGAAACTACACATCATACTGATTGATACTGGTCACTAGCTAATTAGGTGAGATTTAATTACCCTGAGTATTTTCTCACAGTTAAACGATATCTTCCGCACATCTAGAGTGGAAACGTTCTTCCAGTGGTAACGAAACCACCAACCGGCACCTCCAGATCAGCCTTGAGAATGTTATCGATGGTAAAGCTAAAGGAGAATGTTGAGATCAGATAGCCCTCTCTAGGTGCACTGTTAGTTTGAAACAATGTGAAGCATTTGTATGTATTTGCTGTAACAGGTGTTTGTGCATGTGATCTTCATTTTCTTAACAAACTTCGCAGGGACACCGCTCTCCAACAGACAGTTCTAGATCACAACTCTCTGTGTCTCCCTATCTAATAATTAAAACACTGTCTCAACATTGAGAAACATAACGATCCTTTTCCTGAAATACGTGTGATGATGTTCGAGCATCTGGTGAAAGGCAGACACACGAACGATGCATCCATGATCTGAATGAAACACAGCCTGCTCCTCACTGATCAGTTTCTCGGGCGATTGCAGAGTCTGTGTTGAATGATGTCAGCCAATATTTTAGACACTACTGATAGCCATCTGATACCCCGTGATTATCGAACAAGTTACATGAACTCTTTCCAAAGATGGGTACAACAATGACCTCATTGTGAAGTGGTGAAACATTCAATCTGCCATATCTTCACAAATAGTGTCGTCAGTCGGCTGACTACAATTTCACTTCCATGTTTAGAAGGAACAAGGGGTAAGTTGTCTAAACTAGATGCCCTATGTCGCTTTCGTACACTGAGTTCCTGACGAATGTTTGCTTCTTTAAGTGGGTCAGGATTAGATGACTATCGGAAAATCGAAATGCGCTCAGCGAACACAGGTGCATCCATACAGCAGGCAGTGAGCCACACGTATTTTGCAAGGGCTAATGATACCACCTGGCCACCAACACGTTGGTAGGTGGGGTCGTGTTCATACTCATCACCCACTGGTTGAAAGTCAACTGCCTGAACCAATGAGCGAAAACCGGTTACGGAGCACGAGACAATGAAGTCGGTATTACTGGATTAGAAAGCTACCTGAATGGCAGTTTGAATTGCTCAACCCAGCGTTTTAGGCGTCTGCCATATACTTCACAGACAGTCTCACTGAAGGCAGATTTGTGGCTTCCGGTAGCCTGGATGAGTTCAGACAGATTCTGGTCATTGTAAGGTGCTCCTACTGCTTTCACGTGCGTGTTTTTGCCACAAGGCTTCACGATGCGTACATAGATAATACATGGTCATTCCTTTGAGGAGCTAATGCATACGACTGTACTCATTGTCAACCATAATTGACCGGTCAGCGTCAAGTGGTCAAGAAAGACATCAGGGCTTTGTGTATTCCTTATTGGGCAGCTTTTCGAAGTCATTAGGGTTTCTCTTATCCATTCACATTCCATCATGTTGGTCAAGCTGGTTTTCGCTTTCTGAAGTTTTCGACAGCAAATCTTAAATATTATTAAGTTTGGTATTTTATTGTGAGACTGTGAGTGACCGATCTGTTGACATTCATCTGATCAGGATGACGATAAGAACGATCACTAAAATGCAAGAAGAGATTACGATTCAATAAAAGGTGATTAATCCAAACAGGTGCTCTATAAGGGTTATCATTTATAAATGCGCGTCCGTCATAGGTAGCTAATTGTTTTGTGAGCTATATGAGTGTAAAATTAAATGTTAATTCGATGGTGAACGTATTCCAATCGGATAGATGTACCAAAAGTTGATACGAATTCGAAGCAGAAGACGGTCCTTACCATCTGGGCTGCTGTCGACTAATCCCAGTCAATCACCTAAATGGCCCCTCATCTGAGGTAAGACGCCCGCAGCAGATAATGCTGCTTAGATATGTTGAGTGAATTTGACTGACAGTTACTCAATTGATGCTAGAATATCATCTTTAGCTGCATCCAAATGATTGACATTTAGAGGATAGGCAAAAATAACGAAGAAGTATGGTTTTCTTTGGCAGTTACTTCTTATTCTAACCGAGCTTTCACCCGAAGAGCACCGAAACTTGTATTGATAACTAACCAGTTGACTAGTGCCAAAGTAGTTTTATCAAAATATGCTGCTAGTGTCACAGGGTATACAGATAAGCCCATCGTCAACATACGTTTGAGTTGACAGGTAGAAAATATTTTCGAAGCACTACTCTGGTATTTTGTATGCAGGTGTCTGAGACCCATCAAAAAATTGATAGGTTTTCTAGTGGCTTAGCCAAGTTTACCTGTTGCCTGTCGATACTTACTTCCTTGAGCTGGTGTGCGAATTTGTTTTCTGGGGTCGTAAAATAGTGGAAAGTTCTTTTGAGTAGTAATAACACAAAGATTCACTGCAGTTATAGTGCAAATTGCTACTGTGTGATGCGGATCTGAGGACGAAATCCTCCTACTGGTCTGATGGAGTTGTGATATCCATAACGTGCTTACAGCAGATGATTAGCAGTTCATGCTGATCTTGCCTTCCTTATAGCAAAGGGATTGTATTGTCAGGGAGTAGTGAAATAAAATTTTCATCGCGGAAACTTCAAAACCCATTGTATTTTCTTTTTAAGGAGATATCCCGTGGGACGTCCCATCGCTCGCCAATATTACTAGTGCATTTCCCATATAGTTTCTTTATGTTAGCAACTTCCATGGGGTGGTCAAACGGGAAGTACTAACCACCTGCACGCTTCTAACTGTATACGAAATCCAATCAATCCCACTTAACTTACCCTACTTACCTTTGTCTCCTCCCTTGCCTTCACTACCTAATAACAATATTAAGCCTATTGCAACTTCCTCAACCTCTCACTCTGCGACCATCATTGTCGACTAAAGTCAGCGAAAAACCATCCCCGGTCCTTTAAAACTCCACTATTGATCTCACATTGGAGCTTTCAACATTCGAACGCTATCTGGGACTGTGACTCATTGGTTTAGGCATTTAACTTTCAACCAGTGGGTCACGGGTTCGAGCAGCGCTCCACCTACCGAGGTTTGGGAGACCGTTCAGTATCACTAGCTCTCACTCAGTAGGCGTTATTCAGCACATTGACCCCACGTGGCTAATGTGGTGAATCTGGGAAACTTACCTTCAAAGTATCCAGAGACTCAATGAGTAGGTCTGGTGAATTCGTGTAGGCATGTTATTCATTTGTAGAGCAGAAAGTGCACTCCTCGACTAGATACCAGTCAACAGCTGGAAGATGAGAACGTCAAGTATGTATTTACGGAAGAAGTACTTAAGCGTTTACCTGCCAGAGCCTGACGTGATATTCCGTTTGTGGTAAGCACAGCAATAAGAAAATTTCAATAACTTACATCCAAAGGTTCGGAAGTGGCAGTCAAACTGAATCAAGTCGGAATATACTCTGCAGGTTTGTGCTCGTTCGTGCAGCATGCAGTGATTGAAATTGTACCCTTTTATGCAATGATCTACTTTTATTGGCAACGAAAACTTATCGTATATTAAATCAGACGGAATTTTGTTGAAACTTATTGATAAAATTCTAATAAAGTCGAAGAATTAGTTGGGTAGCATTGCATAACCTTTCGAAGGTCACTTTCATGTGGAATGCTACTTGTATAATGTTGTTCACCGTCAAAGATTTTTGTTTATATTGCATCAGAAATTTCTGGAAATACATGCTTAGCTTATGAGGGATTTATTGTGACCTAAGGCTCAGTTTATTTAATCTATTAGGTTCACGCTTTGTTCTGATGTTTACTGAGTAAGAATTTGAACTAAACTTTTACTGTATCTTGGCTTTGTTTAGAACTTATATCTTTCAACTTACTATACTTATTTTATCTAATATTAACCATTAACATTGTTGCGTTTGTATCCCTGATAATCAGATTTTCCTTACTAATCAAATGGAAACGTATGCTAAATGACAACTGGAAATAAGAAATATCATTTAGTTTTCCTGACTTACTGGCTTTTGAAAAGGCGTACTAGTCAAATTTGCGTGCATTTGAGTGTTCGTTATTGGGGAGCCTAAAACATTGAGTACATATCCTTCTGATAGGTCATGTATTCGAAGCCAGCCCGACCTGCCACGGTTTGGGGAACGAAATAGTATCATTAGCCTTTACACAGTGGGGGTGATTTCTTGCCTACTACATGAATGTGCTCAAAGTTTCTGAGAGGATTTTGTTTCGATTTTCAATTTCTGTAGATTTTTAACTGATCTTGTTTGATTCTGAATTATATATTTACGTTTATTCACACCAAGATATTTTCTGTGATGATTTTGGTTAGCAGTTGAGTTGCCCATTGTGCACAGGTTTCTGTGTACTCAAATGATAATCAGTTGTTATTTATTCGTCGACTCTCGTGTCACAAATAGCTGTTATCCAAATAAATCGTGCCTTATTTTATCCTATAAGTTGTCTTTGACTTTTTCTTACAAGAAATATGGTCTTGAATGGTTTCTTGAACAACCATATACGTTTACTATGGATTTAATAAGCCAAGTACTGAATGGAAAATTGCTTATCCAATTGACAAGCCTTTTATCCAAGGTGGATGAACATGTCAAACAATGCCAGGTAAGGTTATGCAATTGACTTTTTTCACAAACGTTATCATATTCTGTCATATCCATTACTTCTTGTTAAATGTATATTTATATGTCGAAGCTAGTAGCTGTCTAGATAGTTTTAGTATTTGGAATGGGAAGCGAAATCTAGATTAAAGAAGTATTACTTTCAAACTAACTGTGGAAATGCACATTTCATTCAGCACTTGGGACTGTATATGCCCATGTCCGTATAATACTGTCGTTGCAACTTTTCTTTTTGGCTGAATGAAGTTGAAGTGTATTATATATTGAATAGTTAGATTATCTAGCATCACATTACTCTAGAGGAGACTCGTGTACACAACAGCTGAGAAGAAAGGAATGCCACTCTTTTAGATCATGTGTCTACATCCGCTGTTTGTGTGTGGTTATGCATACCGTGCCACTATATACTCCGATATACGATGTTGAGTAGCGTATAATTAGTTTGGAAGAACCCCTGTATAGTCAGACCAAGTAAATTTTCAAATCAATCCAGTAAAACCCAGTACATGGCTATAGGCTAAACCTAATGCGTACGTATTTATACTCCCTAACTTTCTAGACCAAGGTGAAGGTGACTTTGAACTTGGGACTCATTGTTTTAAAGACGAATGATTAAACCAATTAACCATATCTCCACTGATCGAGATACACCATCAGTATATGAATTCATTAGCAGCAGCAATTGATGGAAACCATGTGAAGAGGTGTAAGTTTTCTAGCTTGGTTCTTTGTTTATTAGGAACCAGTGAACCAATTACCAATAATGGTCACACTGAGCGTATCTGTTCACTTTTGGGTTTTCTACAAATGTTAGGTATCTTATTGCATCATACTTATCTATTCTGCATTCATTCATCTAATTTTGTTTATCTGACCACCTTTTCGTTTAGTCAGTCTTCCATTTCTTTGCTATTGCGGTGTAACGTGTTCTACACGTCGGTTTTGTTCCTGACTGTATGCCTGTTTAATATTGTAAGCACTGAACTGGTGATGCAGATGTCATAGAAAAATCTTCCTCTTATTCTCCATGATCATCATGTTTGCATATCGCATGCTTTAAAATCTCACCATTCATGTTTCACCTCATTCTGTATTTCTTATTTCATTTAGATATGTGAAACATATGTTCCGAGTTATTGTACCGTTTGTAATGAAGGACCTGTTCGTCCTCATTACATGAAAATGACTTTTTGTAATCGATGCAACAAAACATGTCATCGGTGAGTCGGTCGTTGTTTTTGGTTTCATGTATATATACTCATATACTATTTGAGGTTTATTTGTATAAAGTAAACAAGTTTCTGTTGTTTTCGAAAGCTACTGGTTATATATATATATATATATATATATATATATATATATATATATATATATATATATATATATATATATATATATATATATAAAATTCCGGAAACGAACATAATACGCGCACTTTGCTGACAGCTAACTTGGTACGCAAGAGTCACTGACTGCAACCCAGGGACGAATAGATAGAAAACCGAAGCTGGCAGATGGGAGAGGATATTACTCCGAGAACATAATAATAAAATCAATCCCAAAACACGTGAATAAGTTCACACACATGAAAAATGACCTTGTTCTCAATTTGAGGCATTTGCATAGTAAGAGTAAAGATTAACCAATTAGCGATTACATTACAATGGAGGCAGAAAATAGACTATTAGTCATACCGTAAAAGTGGTGTGGGAATGACACGTTAAAATGTTCGGATCAACAATAATGTTTGATACAAAACAGGGGCATCACAACAGTTTCATTCGATTATGAAGTGTAGTAATGCTAATGTTACTCGGATTCATTAACACAACGTAGCGTGTAAATATCTATTTGGTTTCTTTTTTTCGTCATCTAGCCTTGAATTCTCAGAGATTAGCTGTACTGTGCATAAAAATTTCCTACTGAAACAAAAATTCGAATAATAGTTTATAACCTTCAGTTCCCAAACCTTTATCAGCCTCATTCAACAACTATATAAAGACGCCACATGCCGAGTAATTCACGATGGGAAGCTCAGTGATGCTTTTGAAGTGAAGACAGGAGTGAAACAAGGTTGCCTACTATCACCCATGATATTCCTGATTGTGGTCGACTGGATCATGCAACAAACAGTGGGGAGCGAGAAGAGGGGGATACGCTGGACTGCGGAAAAGAACCTAGAAGACTTGGATTTCGCCGATGATTGTGTCTGATGTCGCACAAACTTGAAGATCTACAGGCGAAAACTAACAAGTTGACAGAAGAGGCAGGGCAGAGGAGGAAGACGGGACTTCAGGTGAATATAGAGAAGACAGAGGTGATGAAGATACCGCACCACCACCAACAACAACAACAAACTCCAATCACCATCAACGGGAGAAACTTAAAGGAAGTAACCTCCTTCACCTATCTAGGCAACACTGTTTCAACTACAGGTGGCGGCACAGACGAGGATGTCAAAGTCAGAATCGGAAAAGCAAGACAGGCGTTCATTAGCCTGAAACCAGTGTGGAGATCTTCTGCACTAAGCATAAAAAAACAAGATACGGATTTTCAACACCAACGTCAAGTCAGTGCTTCTGTATGGTTCAGAGACTTGGAGCGTTACGAAAGGGATTTCCAAAAACTACAGACATTCATCAACAACTGCCGCCTACGCTGGCTCGCTACTGAAGATCAGATGGCCAGAATAATGAAAATAAGCAACAAGGAGCTCTGGGAACGAACCAACCAAGAACCTATCGCTCAACAAATATGCACTGGAAGGAAGTGGAGATGGATTGGGCATTCACTGAGAAGGCTGATTGGGGATATCACGCGTCAGGCCCTCGAGTGGAACTCAAATAGGAAGCTACGAGTTGGGCATCCGAGGCGAGGGTGACAGGAGAAGATCGTGCGAGGAGGAAATGAGAGGTTGTGGGCAGTGGTGGAGCCAGGTTCAAAAGATCTCAGAGAACAGAGTTCACTGGAGACGTGCTAGTGAAGCCCTGTGTTCCACTAGGAACCCAAGGGACAAATAATAAATAATAATAATAATAATAGTAAACCTTCAGTCCACAAAATCGACAGTGGAAACGTTTTTTGATTTATTTCTTTTAATAATTTGCATAGTTTGTGTATCAAAGTAGAAACTACAGTGCTACTGATTCCCGATGTTTTTTTCTGAACTTACCACAGATCTTGTTTGTCGATACCACTACCTATACAGCTGAGAGATACCACATACTATGCTGATATTCATCAAACGTATGAATTATCTGAATCTGATTCAGATTGGGATAGAATTCAAGACGAATGGGTTGAAGTACTTTATCCTTGCTTATGTGTATTGTGTAAACGATGTGGTTCAAACCAAGTTACACTTTATTCGTCTGGTATTTTGTGACTTCATTTTCTCCTTAAGATTGTTTTATTATTTTTCCAATCGATCACAGTTCATGATTTGTTAGGTGTTCACCTAAGTAAAGGCTACTGTATAATTACTTTCTAGATGTTGCAATCGATGTGTAAAGGAGACAGCTGCTCAGAACGTTGTGCGTATATTTGCTCATTTCAAACTTTTGTTTCATGGTTTATCTATGCTTTTTTTTACTGATTTCACATTGTGATATTCGAATTACCTGATCAAGGAGCTGATTTTTTACTCATTGATATAGTAAATGATCACTTTGTACAATTATTATCATCTGTAAAAAGCTCAATATGCAAGATTTTCAAAATCTGACTGAACCATGGTGGTATTTTTTTTACAAGTGATTGGCTTCTGATTAATTTTTATTATTTCGTTATCTATAACAAATAAGTCAAATTATAAGTGTTTTTCAACATTGTCTGGATTTGTATGTTAGTTAAATGGATGATATTGCATTGTTCAAGAGCTTTCACTCATTCATCTGGGTACTCGACATTCAATCAGCGGTTCAAACCTCCTACGGATAGCTGCTACCTAGGCGTGGTGGTTGAGCTTGGGTATCAAAATGACCCAATGAGCTACGCTGGTGAAAGGCTTGTTCATTTGAGGTCCTACCATACCAGATGGTGGTGAGATTAAAATAGATAACTGTTAAAGTCTGAAGATTGGACTACGATGGACAATCCGAGAGCGAAGTCGTACCGATTAGTGGTTGGGATGTTAAGGAAGTAAGGTGTTTCCCTTCGATGACCGGCAATGCCAATCTGCTGCTGCCTTCCCTATGGAAAGTGTTGAGTTAGAAAATGTCGCGCATGAAGATACCACACTCTCTCTACCTAATGGCATACCGGTACTGGGGACATATGCTCATACGTAAAATCGAGAATAGCAAACTGAAAACTCAAACTTTTAAAACGCCGTGCGCAACCTCTCCCCCTTCCTCCTCAGACAAATCTTTTTGTGCCCTACAGTAACATGCTAACAATTCTCTTTCCACTACCTCAAGAAGAACTAGCCTTCCACAGTTATCATAGCGAGAAAGTGTCAATAACCCTCACAAATCAGTTAATACTCAAGATCCCTGTCCGTCTTCTACACCCTTTCTTACTAATCTTCGTCTACGTCTCTCGATCCATATTACTGACTGACAGAGACAAAATCAGTGTAGAACGTCGTACACATGTACATTGGCTCATGTTGCCACACTTCACAATCGCATACAAAGATCAGATAGATAGACAAAAAAAATGAATAGTGTAAGAACAAACAGAACAACAAAGGGGATTGAAACTAAGAAAAATAAAAAGGGAAGAATGATAAAGTTGATCTTCGTTACTTCATTATACCTACCTTAGTAAACTGTTTCCTGACCCAGGTTAGGATCAACTTTATCAAGCTTCCTTTTTTATTTGTCTTAGTTTCAATTCCCTATCACTTTGTTCTATGTTTTCTCCCATTCTTCGGTTTTATATTAATGGAGTTCACAAGTATATGTGTTATCTGATTGTTCGAAATGTATTGCTTAAATGGTAAACAGTGTGTTCTTTCCGATAAAACTTCATTTTTAGCTGCTGGTTTTCAAGATCTGCATGTCATCCATCTCTAATTGAACATTTGGAAATGATTAGCATCTTATCTCCTATTAACTTAATCATCTAAGGTAATCTTCGTCACTCAAGTTATCTTCAAGTAAAGAGGAGAGGTATAGAAAACTGAAAGAAATCTGGGATCGCCTGATATTTTGAACTAGTAGCCCTAGGTCCATTGACCTGGGGTTCCACCAACTGACTTATGAGACCTTACTACCAATAAGATTCAAATATTTCTTCAGTCAACGAGTGCTTTGCTTGGCTACTACAGAAGTGTGCGACAAGCACGTCCTAATTTTTCATCAAACCAGCTGCACAGCTGTATATTCTTTCCAAATCTAAATTGAGCTGAATAAAAGATAAGAAATGACTGACTGCATGGGATTGTATGAGATTGTTTTGTTTTGTTCTTATCAGCAGTATTTAAAGTTGAATACTGAACAGAAGCCTAAATAACCCCAAGCTGTTAATGTGACTTCTGCCTCAATTTAGATGTCGGTATCTTTCCCCATTAGTTTTGGGGCCATGAAAAGACTTAAAGTTTTGCTGCCCCCAACTGTCAGCTTTGAAATTTAGTTACATTATAGGAAAAGCTATAATATCCTCTGATAACTCAAACTAAGAACTCCACATTTTATCCTAAGTTACTAAACTGGAATTATGCCTTAATAGTTGCTTATCCAATACTCTATGTAGACAGTGTAGTTATACAAACATGAAGGATTGCAGTTTGGTTGTTTAGCCGAATGTTATGAGAGAAATTAATTGGTTTACTCCTGGTAGCGTATGCTGCTGAGGAATTCTAAAGTAGTTCCAAACAGATATAAATTATTTTTATTAGTTTATAAATTTTGAAGTTTCTCTGGTTAGGGATAACCTAATAAAATGAAGCACTTCTTGATCTAGGTCCCACTTGAAAGCTTACAAAATATGATCAGCTCGCATATTTATTGATCTCTCTGCAGTCAACGTGATGAAAAACCAATGCAACTATTTACACACTTCTTTGCTTTAGCTTTAGGACTCAGTATGACATTCATAATAAAAAATCTAGTGATACTGGCTCTGAACATGAATTATTTTTATGCCTGAATAGTTGCGAATCGGGAGCAAACAACTGTCGCTTGGTTGCTTGTTGTCATTTTGCCTTAGCTTAAGTTTTTCTCTGCAGGAAGTAGACCAATTCGGTAAATTTAGTCTCTTCGCAGAACTCCTTCCATAGACGTCATGCAAAACCGTCGAACACCATGTTCAGTTATCCGTGGTATAGCCCCATCTCTTCTAAAAAAAATACTTCAAAAGCTCTAACGACGAAATTCAAATACTTTTGTTTCGTTTTTACTTCAGATATGGGAGCAAATTATTGCAACATAATGATATCACACAATGTATGTAAGCATTTCTATCAGAAAAAAATACACAAATTTACTATGTACAGCTATAGTATTGGTCACTAGTCGGAGTTTTTTTCGATCCGATTAGTTCAACAAAACTGGACAAAACAAAATATGACATCGTATAAATCTCTCACATATGAAGGTCAATAATAAGTTTTACGAAGGTTTACTTCAATTAGAGTTAGGATACATTCATTGCATTATTGCGGAACAGAATAAAAACGGTGTGTTTCTAAACATAGTAATCACTTTTTGTACTTTATTATATTAGCATTATGTTGGAATCTTAAGGTATTTGAACATAGATATAGCTCAAAATACTAAGTAGTGATAAGTCTGTTTGACTGCGTAGTCACAGCACATAGACGTAAAAATTATTTCATATGCTGTGTAACAAATTTGCCTGCGGCTAATGAAAGACACAAAAACAGCATTGCACAGAAGTGCGTCAGTTTTGATTAGTTGCAACGTTGAAGAAAAAGTACGTAACTAAAATATGCTGAAATACATTGGAGGAGGAAAGTGAGTAGGGATAGATGGTCAGTTTTGAGTCCTCACCTTGCCTCTTCATTTACCGATTATTGGTATCTCGATATCCTAAACTTCTCTGCGTGGCTTATCTTAACAGTCAACGGAAAAATTGTGCACTGTAGAGACAATCAATTTATTTATAATAGAGTCGATGACTGCACCGTTTTCTGCGATGTCTTTGTTTTCCTACCATCAGCACTTAATTTATTTTTGAGCTTTTTCAGTCGGCATTATCTATACGGGTAAGCATTGTCTTAGCATTCTGTGACTGATGTCTTGGTCATCCTGGTCATTGCAAACTCACTTCTGCCAACTTTCATTCCCTGACTACAGTGGAAACATTCCATAACATATTAAAAGATATTTTTTCGAACCTGAAGAAACGTCTGCCATCTGTGAGTACACATGTCACTGGTTCAGCTAGCTACCTAGTTTGGAGTGATGTTTCTGAGGTACGACAACGTATCGAATAACTATCAAAGCTAGAGCTCTAGATTCCATGTCAAGCAGATTACTCTCTGATTATCAGAAGAGCACATATCTTACGTTATGTCAGCGTGGGTAGCTAACAGTCGATATCAACCCAGAGTAGCTACCTTTTAATTCAATCACTTATATAATAACTCAACCGGTATGAGTAGCGATTGCTGAACTTATTCACTCCGTAACCTAGAGGTACATAATTTCGATTCCGATTTGGATAGTTTATGCGAAAATCTCACTAATTTTCCACTTATAAACTGGCTAAAAGCCATTAAGGTGAATTAAAGTACATATTTATTAATTCTTAAAAACTAACGAGTGGTTCGTTCAAGAAAACATTTCTCATAATGTTGAAATCTCCCATAGAATTCACTTGTTACACATGTTGATAAAGTGTAGATTTATCACTTAGACGTGGTCTGTTTGGATTATTTTCCAGTAACCAATCGGCTAGCCAAAGCTAAATGCAATGAAAAATAAAGAAGCATGTAAGTGAGCTATATTCAAAAGTGGTTACTGTTGCACTACGAATATCAAAGTAAATGTCTGAGTGATTTGTGGGCAATGGTCATAATGATAGCGCTATGGGCAATCCACTTGTATAGCTTACCTTCTTAGATAAATATTTTAGACAGCAAAAAGTATTATGCCTGGAAATGATATCATCTCCAAGAATAGAAATGGAAGGCACCATGCCCATACATTTTATGTCATCCAGTATTGTATTTAGAACACGAAAGGCTTGAAGTATATATATATATATATATATATATATATATATATATATATATATATATATATATATATATATATATATATATATATATATATAACTGAATATATAGGTTTTGCTGTCGAAAGAATTATAGTGGCAAAATAGTTCTCGCTTTGTCACTTATAGTAAGTTTGTTTACTTATTTGGATTAGTATGGTACTGTTCATCACTTTTAACTGCGAAACTCAAAGATAGCTGTTTAAACATTAACAACAAACTAAAGTCGTCTGACCCTCATCAGCAGTAATTAATTCACATGAACTAGTCATTAGTGGATAGCGATGTAGCTGTCTAATCTTTAATACTCAGGGTTGATGAGTGCTAACACATAAGAAACGTAGGTCAAGTGCTTTCTGTTGACTCACTTCTAAGAGAGAACACTAATACTTATTTGACAATACCTGTGGTGAATGATGATATTCGTTCAGTTTTATCAATTCGTTCGTGATAACTGAAAATGAATATTTTTTGTAATTGTGAACAAGCTGTTTTAAATGCGTTAGGATCATCTTCGTTCAATAATTGAAAGCTAGTTAATATCCATTCTAGTCTGTTTTTTTTAGAAACATCACACAGTAAAACAGTGTCATTTACTGGATATAGTTTTAGGCATAATTTATTGTCCACATTCATATAGTGTGATCTGAATATGGACAATAAATTGTCAGTAAATGATACCGTTTCACTGTGTAACATTTCTAATAAACAGACTAAAAATGGAATTATAATCTGCCAAATCACCCAAGTTTTACTCCTATATTAGCTAATATCTGACTGACCAAATCAACGCAGCACTTCGCACACAGGTGCATCAGCTCAAGTTGCCACACTTCACAATAGCATACTAAGATCAGATGGATAAACAAAAAGTGACATCAAAGTGGAAAATTTTGTGTAAGTGAACAAACAATCCGAAGATAAGGGTTAGCGCAAAATATTTAAGCTTTGAAAGATATCAAGGAGTGAATACATCTGCGCCATTGTGACCGATTTGCAGCCATGTCACCAAGAGTCCTCAACCACAGATTCCTTTCGTCTCGGGGGCTTCAATTAGGCAGTCTACATCTCCCCATATAACCCACACCAACAGTAAGAGGCTTCATCAACTGGTGCCACCCTGAACCCTCTTTCAACTTAATCCAACTTCGCCTAGCGTGGCATGTAGAGATAGGCGCTGGTTCGGCATGTGCAATACATGTCCAAGCCATCTCAGTCGACTAAGGTTCACAACCTCATCAATCGACTTGCGTGTTTGGCTTAGTGCATTTCATCTGACCTTAACACTTCTCACATAGTGATTGCATGAAATTCGAGCAAAGCTACGAAGACACATGATTCAAATTCGTAATATCTTGTTTATTTTCACTCCTTCTTGGCTTACTAGTATCGGATAAGAAATTGCCATCTTGTGTATTTAAAACCAGTGGACAGCTTGCACATAACTAGGTTGTCTTACAAGCGATTAGATCATTCCATTATTTTTTTTAATGTCAATTTCTTTACTCTTAAGTATTCATATTTGAATAAGCAAACAAAAGATTTGGTTTACTGTCTTCAGTATTTAACTGTAAACGGATACGTTTAAGGCTCAAATTACACTTCTTATACTTCAACCTGAAAGTGAGTAGCGTATAGGCCCTCATGAAAATGTGACTTTGAAAGCCACCTTAAAACTGCTGATATAACCAATCAAGTTTCTAGACTTTATGAGAAAATATCCTTCCAGCTAAAATCTAGATAACAAATTGGTGATTTTGGTAGTTGTTTGGGGCGGCCTTTAAAGTCACTCTTATCAAGTTACTTTAAAAGTCACCCTAGCAACAACTGAAATGACCAATTAGTCTTCTATATTTCAACTTGAAAGGTAATTGCTCATAAAAAACAGAACTCTAATTGGGTGTCTCAGTGGTTGTTAGAGCGCCCTTTAGAGACACTCAAGTTTCCTTTAGTGACTTATAAATTGAATGTGTGATATCACAAAATATTCCATGATTTTAAATAACTTGATTAAGGGGTGGTATTTCGCATTCATGGCATGAAATTCATACATTTTCAGCGAAAATATTACTCTAGAATGTCATAATCATGTGTTAGACCAATTTTTCCGATAAAATGGAAATTTATGCTCACTATAATTTGACTATAATTTCATACAGAATAGAATACTAATGTAGTGCTAGTTTCTTTGATTCACATTAGCTAACTATTTAGTCGGATTATGAAATATGCTCGAAAAGTTAGTATCACTCTTTTATTCTTATAGTTGCTAGAAATAGAACTTATTAAGCAGATTACACTTTTACGTACAATGAATCGATTAGGAAAAAACATATCTCTGTACGCTCAGTACTTTACTACACTAAGACTATAAATCAAGCTAAAACAACTTTGAATATCAGTAATTTATGTAAGGGTTGATTTATTCAAACTACTAAGTAAGAAACAAAAAAAATTACTTCGTTTTTTTTAAGAAATCTTCCAAATAATCATATATTACTACAGAAAATAGTCAAAGTATCAATAACTCTGGAGAAGGAAAGTAACTTACAACTGGATCTTTTGGTTTCTGTTTACACAATTCTGTTAACCCTCTGAGCAGTGTTGGATTCACATTTCTGGCTAAGTAATCTTTTGCAGCCAGTCGTACTGGAATTGGTTCCACAACCGCTGGAACGATTAAATAGTTTTAATAATGGAAAAACAAGGCAAAAAACATTGCTTTGAACATCATTTCTGAATATATTATCTCTCTCTCCTATCATTGCTTAAATTCTTTGCACTGTCAATACTTCATGTTACTAACGTCTTAGTTTGCCAAATTATGTATTCAAAAAGCATCCCGACAATTCCTGATGCATTTAGTACCTTCCATCCATTGATACATTCCGGTATGAAATATTTAAGAGACTATAATACCATTTCGTACTACCAAAAATCATTTCAACAGAATCTGATTCTTTTTACCGATCGGCAAATTATCACTGAAACTTATTATTAGTATATAAAAGGGTTATGTAAGAAATCATTACTTCATCAATCAGTGATATAGAGGCATATACATTTTACAGTGCGACTCATGTACCACATCTACGTGTTCAATAGTTCTTTTGACTCTTGTTAGTTTAGTTCAGTGGAAAAACGAATTATGTTTTTTCTTGTCATTTGAATCATCATAGTCTAAAACCATTGTATTCCACTTCATCAATTCGAGATCGTGATAAATTGTTGAGTCTCTGTCACTTGAAATATTTTCATTTTTCCTTTCTTTCTGTGACCACCAAATCATTATTTTAATTTTCAGTTATGAACAAAAATTTGTATTGCTCTTGAGAATTGTACTAAATGAGTTCTTTATTTGGCAACAATTGACTGAATATTTTCATTACAATGAGTAGGTTTCAAACACTAAAATCAAACACATTTTGTACATACTACTTGAATTAAGCGGCATCTTTATTTCATCATGAACTTTAAGCAACAAGAAAGTCATCCTATATGTTAGCATTTAATGAGATGTAACCTAGCTGATAGGTGAGCAGTCTGATGAAAAAGACAAAGTATGATGTTTCTACGCCGTCAGTCACCGACGTATCAGAGTGACTTTAAAGGCCACCCTAGCGATTGCTGAAGCAACCAACCAGCTTTTGTTACTTCGCCTAGAAGGGTGGTCTTTCATAAAAGAGAGCTACGCAATTGGTTATCTTACTAGTTTGTAGGGCGGCCTTTGAACTCAGTCACTGTCTATTCAAGGTCACTGACTTGTCCATTCTAGTAGATTTTTTTATTAGGCGTGTGGATATTTCAATGGTAAACGGGTATATGTAATCAGAAAACATACAACTTACTATCTGGAAAGAAGAATCGAATTTCTCTTTCAGCACTCGTAAATGAATCACTCCATGTATACCATTTTGTTGATCATCAGTACCATAGATTGCTCTTAAACTACAAATGAATAAATAATGAATTGTGAAATGAATTGATCAACCTTTCAGGTGCAATAGCTTTAGCTTTTAATGCATTCTGTGGACCGATCAGTTCACGCCAAATAGATATGGCATTTTCTTTAGCTATGACTAGTACTTCTATTGGTCCACTGCTAATATAAGCAACTAATGTTGGAAAAAATATTTTCCCGTAATGTTCAGCGTAGAATTCACTGACTTGTTCCGGTGTTAAGTGTACACGTCGTTTCTATCACAGAGAAATATTTGTTTTTATGTTCAGAGTGTTTAAATGAATTTCTGTCTAACCTGGATGATGAAAAATCCTTTTTTTAAAATGAATTCCTCAATTTGGTCTGCATGATGAATAATATCAGGTTTAATAATGACAAGCGTTCTCTCAACATGAATATATGGAGAATTTTCTTTAGACATTTTTAATTGATGATATTACAAACTATAACTAATGCTTTTTCTGTAAAATGATGTATGCCAGTCTGTATGCCTATAACAGAAAATATAAAACACAGGTTAAGACGCATTTATTCATATTACTAAGTGTTTATGTTTTATACCGAAATTTGTATAGAATTTAAGTTATAGATGAATTTATTTTGCAAATTATATTTATATTATTTGTCCCTTGGGTTCCTAATATAACACAGGGCTTCAGTAGCACGTCTCTAATGCGCTCTGTTCTCTGAAATCTTTTGAACCTGGCTCCACGACAGCCCACAAGCTCTCATTTCCTCCTCGCACGATCTCCTCTATGTCACCCTCGGACGTTGTCATGATCCTGGAGGAGACTGGTTCTCACTGCATGAGCGAGAGCCTTCGATGCTCTTGAACGGGACATCATGATAGCCACTCCGAAACTCAGTGTGCTCGTGGTTATCATCTGGGTGACATTATCGGAGGAGATTGCTGATTCTACAGTTAAGAGTTTGAAGAGTCCATTTCCATCCCATCTACTTTCGCAAATTCCTAGCACTTCAGTGCGATACCTTCTCATCTCGTTTGCAATCTGGGCTGCCTTGCTAGGTTCAAATGTGGTGCGGACATTCCATGTCCCCATGTTTACTTTCGCTTTCATAGAGAGAAGACAGATCGGCCAATTGGCTTACGGAAGGCTTTCACCAACCGGTGTCATTTCGCCTCTCTGATTCCAGCAAGGAATAATGTTGTTTTTATTTTCTATATTTTGTTTGTGCTTTGAAGTTTCTTTAGCGGTTAGATTTGTTTTACTGGGTAGGGTTGCTGTCCCTGTCACCAACGTTTTCTCTTTATCCGGGCTTAGGACCGGCTGGTAACTAGTGAACTATTAAAACTTGTCTAAGCATCTAAATGGTAAGTAGAGATAAGCTTATAATATATTTTATTTTACTTTAAGGCTTAAGGGAATGGTATTTATCAAATTCTTGGAAGAAATAATTTTTGACTGAAAATATATTAACGTCAGTATTTTTGAAAAGTAGATACTTTCATGAAATACAGCTTTTTAATAGAAGTATTTAAAGTCACTTCACAGAAGTAATTTTATCCTGAGTAGAATAATAAGTGGTTATTTACTATTTCAGTTTTCTTATTAGATTTATCACGCAGCGAAACAGCATTATTTAATGGATTCAACAGATAGTACTTTTGAGATGATGGAGAGTATTTTTAGCTCAGGACCGCAGTATAAATAATACTGTGATGTATCTAACAAACAGATTAAAATGGAATTACAGTCTAACACAGTGTCCTTGTCTAACTTCTGTGTTAAGTGGCTGTTTGTATTTTCGTCTGGCTAGAAGTCATTGTGACTTGTCATAAGTTATTTAGAGCTCAATTTTATCAATGTAAATAAATATTTCTACCCAAAGTTTGTTGAAGCATTGCATGAAAGCTCACAGATGCTCTGTACCTTCTTTCTTATATGATTCATCGGTCATGACTTTACTACTTTAGGTTAATTTTTCGAATACCTAGTTTTTTGTGCCAACGCTAGTATGAAACTGAAACCACTGAACTTAGTACAGTTTATGCAATTTGTAGAAAAGTTTGATCTAGTTTTCATGTTTATTCATATAAATCGTTAGGGTCTTGTTTCATAGTCAAGAAATATGACATTTGAAACAGTTAGTCCCTTTTATGAATTTCGGTATCGTAATCAGAAGACGCAGTTTATCTCAACAATGTGATGTATTTGTGCAATACACTTCGAACAGTCTGACCACACATTTACTTCTCAAGTCAATGAATATTAAATCGAGGAGTGGGAGGAAAAAAATGCAACAGTTAACGCAATAGAGGATTAAAATTAAGAAAGATGAAAACAAACAGGAAGTGACATAGTTCATCATTATCTTAGTAAGAAAACAAAGTTTACCAAGTTAGGTGAAGTGTAAGAACAAATTACTTCTGTACACATAAAGGTGGTTTAAATTTGTGTATGGCTATGGCTTCCGCAAATCTCAGTAAACGTCCCTGACAGTTTCTATATAAAACTTTCAAAGCTGTTTGGACATTAACTTAGTGACCTGTTTCTATATGTTTAGCTATAGATGAAGGGGATCGCCTCCCAACAGCGTTTATCACTGTTTCAGTAGACGATTATTCAGACTTATCAAGGAAACTGGGGGGTAAAGGTCAACAACAGTTAGTGAGACTATAGCGGAGAAAGGCGGATCTGCGATTCACTAGCAGAGGAGACGACTGAAACGATGGGCAGAACACTTCGAGGAAGAGTTTAACTGGTCTCCAACCACCATTGCGTTACCCGCTATCCAGTCGGATCCTGAATGGAACATTGAGATGGGCCCCCCAACACTAGCAGAAGTCGAGAAAGCTGTAGGTAACTTGAAACGAGGAAGGACGGCAGGACCAGATGGACTACCTGCTGAGGTATACAAGGATGGTGGTAAGGTGCTCTTAGTCAGGTTAACTGGAGTGTAAGCCAGTATATGGGAATCAAATATGATCCCCACTGACTGGTCTAAATCACTGATTATCCCAGTCTTCAAGAAAGGCGAGAAGTCCTCTTGTGATAACCACTAAGGAATCAGCCTGACATTTGAGTGGAGTTCGGGAACAGCAAGCCCGAGAAAATCAGGCAGGCAAGCGTTAGACCCGGCCGCGGGTGCATGGACCAAATATTCATATTCACACTGCACCAGGCCCTGGAACACAGGCACATCTACAGACGTCCCACATCAGCTGAATTTCTCGACCTGAAGGCGGCATTCGACTCCATTGATCGATAAGTCTTATGACAATGTCTCTTACCGAAAGGCGTGCCGAGTAAGTGCATCACCTTATTGAAGGCTCTCTACTCGAACACTTGTGGACGTGTTACACCCTATAATGAGATGTCCAGGGAGCTATGCTTATCGAGTGGTGTCCCTCAAGGCTGCCCACTACCTCCATTCTTATTCAAATTTATTATTGATATTCTCATGGAGGTCTCCCTCTCGTCATCTTATTACACAGAAGTTGACATAATCGCGGGAGAATTCTCGTTAGACCTAGAATATACAAATGACATAGTCCCGTTAGGTGAAGACGCTGACAAGATTCAGAGTCTTCTGAACACTTTGAGTGGGAATTTGAGAATGTTTGGGATGCGTCTCTCACCACCAAATGCAGATTTCTGCTCCGGGATTGGTATTCAACGGTACCCCACCGTGGTTGAGTGTGTTGACCACTTCACTTACCTGGGAAGTAGGATCAGCCCTGGTGTCTCAGTGGCCGATGAAATCTCCGCACGGATACAAAAGTCTCGACTGACTTTCGCCAACTTATGCCACCTATGGCCCCGGCGTGATATCTGATTCTCTATTAAGGGTCGCGCGTACCGCACAGCAGTCCAATCTGTTCTACTGTATGACTGTCAAACATAGCCATCGAAGGTGTTTGACCACCACTACCTTCGTAATATAGGCGCCGTATTGCATGGTGTCACCATGTGAGTAATATAGAAGTCAGGTGTAGAGTTTTAGGGAGAAGAGGAAAGTTCATGGTGAGGTTGTGAACCTTCATCGACTCAAAACGGTCGAATATGTTTCGCGCAATGTCGGCTGAATTACATTCAGGGCGGAGAAAGTTTATAAGTGAGAAGATGAAAACATGGCACCTCTACATGAACTCCTTGAATGTTGGTCTGAGCCATGTAGGAAGGCGCAGACTAGCCGGGCAGGGTCCTCGTGATAAGAGAAACCTGTGGGTGGAGACTCTAGGCTCAAAACAGATGCCAATGGCCTAGATGTATTTACACTTTATCTTCTTCTGAACCTCTACAATGAATTCAGCATTTTCTCATTCCTCCTTCGTCTTTCTTACTGCTGTTGACCGATGTTTCTTTCTTTCTTTATCTTTCACCCTACTACTTTTTTATTTGTTGCGTTGATATTACGAGTATCAACTTGAACCACTAGCCAGTAACGCCGGGTCCTGTTTTGATATTAATCAATTGGTTTAACGTCAATAATTCAACGCTGTATTCAACAGTGATAATTTGTAGTAGCAATAATTTATCGACCACCTACTTTAGTTGTTGACTGACTATTTATGAATCCAGGTGACTCGAAAATGATTTGCGAAGATCACAGTAAGAGAAACAACCAATAAGAAAACAGAAGTTTTGGCTACCAGGAGATCTTTAAAGTGGTCGAGAAACAACTTTATTTCAAATGTTGGTGCATAAACTTGTGGATCACTGGAGATTAACTGTCATGTTGTCTGGCCCTAAGTGCAAACTGAACTGTGGATCAACTTCGTGCTACGACAGCTCCTCAGTGATCAGTCAAGGAATCTCATTGAGTCTTGTAAGAGACTACTCACAGTAGAAATAGTCCAGTCGTAGCATCTACAAATGTAGCACTGAAGATCATAGATTTGGATACCTGTTTATTAGCCACTCCCCTCTAGGTTACATATATTAGAGTTTCTAATTCCTGAGACTGAAGTTTCTCCCCATTGGTTAGATATTTAGGATGCAACAACTGCATGAAATTTCGAAACATTCATAGCTCCTTCCAAATAAACTTGAAATGTCCAAATGACATATATTTTTATCGTGTGTTGGCAACGTTTCTGACCAGTGTTTATGGAAACAGTTACTTTAATTTACAACAAACTGGAATATGTCTTGTCATCATTCTTAAGATTTTAATTTAGTTGTAATTGCAGAATCTCCTTCAAGCTGATATTGGTGTCGAAGAACATTCTTAGATTCACTTGATTTTTCTGTCACTCACTAGAGTGACTTGGTCTATAAATAGAAATTATGGTTCATAATTATAACTGCGAGGCAGTAGGAACATGCTGTACAAGCTCCAAGATAAATAAAAAATCAGTTTAAAACTTCTGGAATCATAAGAATTTTTAAAGAGTCTTGACTAAGCTAGCAAAGATAATTTCTTTTACTAAACAGTATGCGATAACATCAATAATAAAAGCTGTTTCCCAACAAATTTAACCGATACCGAAAATTATGTTGCGTTAGTAACATTACGTTTTTACACTAGGAGATAAAACGAAGTTTGTTATAGAGCCGGAAGGAAAATGGGATAGTCCATCTACACTATGAGCTAAAACAGCTTAAAACGAAATTTCTTACGACTGTAAGCTGATGTACGCTGCAAGTGATGAAGTTCGAACTAGCAATGGTGGACTTAACTTTTTTACACACGATGCTCGTTTTATTAATTTTGCAGACCGTTTACGCAATACAGTCCATGGATACATTGAGATTCTTTCTTATGCTTCGTAACGATTAAAAAAGGAATATGGAAAAGGTTAAAAGGTCACTTCTTACTCAAAGCGAAATTCTCAAGTTGTATGTATGATTGTCCAGCATGGTGGATGTGACTCTAGCACCTTGATGAAGGAATACGAAGCATTAAATACTCGGACATTTTGTGTCTATAAATAACCGTGTGTCCACCTATGGGTATTATCCCAAGAAATCTTTAGAATAATTAGTGTACGCGCTGATAACGAGAAATGCCTTAGTATTCCAAACGGTATTAGTAAGTCATCGAAAATGAATTCAAAAGTCATTCGTTTTTTTGGCTGGAAACAAAACAGTAAAATTAAGCCGCTAAATTTAGTTAATCGGAAAAAGTTTTGTCATGAGCTTCCGCCTCATTTTAGTTTATTTTTCTTTTATTGCAGTCGGGTGGATTAGATAATTTCAAGGGTCTAGGTCACCAACAGCTTCCAACAGTTTTCATTGGTAAGGCGATCCGAAATGAATTGGTGAATGTCACTTTGATGAACTGTAACTAATCATGTGAACATGATTTTAAATACATTTATATCAGTTATTGAAATATCTCTTCCTTATAGCGAGTGGAAAATACCCCATAAGGATGTAATTTCGAACAAACCAGCCCATGCATATTCACCTGCTTGGGAAACAAATTTACCAAACTGATTCTGAGCTAATTATCGAATGACCATCAGCCTGCTCATCTTTTAAAGTAAAACACAAACACGTTTAAACTTCTAACAAACAAACATCTATACACTGTTTGGAAGTTTTCAAAAAGAACTGCCGTTAGATTTTTCCATGCTGGTCTTTCTTCTGATAACTAGTCAAATTGCACAGGATTACTCTCCATCGTGTCTGAATATAATACGACATTCGTTGGTTTAATGAAGAAGCTTTAACCATAAGTACCAGTTCATTAGTCTGCCTCAGTGTTACCTCAATCAAAAAGCCCTCAAGTAAATTCAAGTTATCAGTGTAAAGGCTTCAAATGCCAAGGAACATGAATCATATTCACTATATTAATAAAATGAATGATTTCTTTACCTTTCGATTACCTTACAACTTTTAAACTCCTGCATTCTTCTCATCTCTCATTTTTAAAATGCCTATTTCCCGACGAGTAATGTAGTACGGGTAATGAAGAAGTCCATTGTTAGGTAAGACATAGCATTCACTTCATTCTAAGAACTCCCATTGCTATTCGCATTCGATAATTTCGTGTCAAAATGTTCCAGACAGTACCCTAGATAAGCACAACACCTATATCTCTGAGTGCATAAAGAACAATGGAAAGCAGCAAAAAGAACATCTTATTATATTCTAGTCAACAATTTATTTAGATTGAAAGTTCGTAGATTTAGAGTTTTACAAATCACTGATGTGGTATTGACTTAAAAAACCTGTAATCTTGGATTCATTTCGGGTAAAACTCAAATTTGCACTCTACACTGTGGGTTTTAGGTTAGACCCGTCCTTGCAAACTGGGCCTCATCAGTCCCGCAGAAATACTGAGAATTCATCAAACAAATGAGATTATAATTGAGTACTTTAACTGAAAACAATAAACTGAGGTCGACACATACAAATTATCGGTAATATTAGTGTAAAGCTTAGGCAGTGTGGTGAACCGTAATCTGGTTTGAGCTGATTCATTGCGTACCAGATAATAAAATAGTAATGCTTTACTGAATTACGTTTCGAACATGAATTGTTGTCTATAATTATATTATATATTTTAACACCTCAATGTATGTTTAATTACAGAATAATGGGATGAAATACATGGAATACATACTTGTAAATTATTTTAATCACAGCTAGCTACATAAATTGCATATAGTAAAGCATACTGCATAAATGATTGCTTTTCTAAAAACACTCCTCTTAGTGTAAAGAAATTTGGCTCATATAAGGATGAAATTATTGAAATCTATGAACTATGCGTCCTGTGGTTGTAACTGTCATTAAAACATACAAACTGTTTGAGATATCTCCTAAACAATTTGTTTGAAACCCCCAGTGGCAAATAATTCCCCAAAACTAATAGCCTAGAGTGTGACAAGATTCAATACTGATGCTGACTTTCTCACTTTTAACAGACTGATTGGTGTGAAGGCACGTGGTCAAGCATCCATGTCATTTCGTATGTTGCCGTGTTACGTTTCGCTGTTCGCACACGACCCTCTAGTCAGTTAGTCAGAGCTCCTTCATATTTCGGTTCGAGTTATCACATATACAGTTCGGACCCATATGACTGGTCTCTTGTATAATTTCTTGTAGCGCACTCATAGGCATAAAACATGTACGACTAATTTGTGAATGGCTTTTGAGTCTGTCAAGTTCGAGTAAGATCAATTCCTGAAAACTAAAACCTAGAACAGCCTGAAACGTACTTCATGAGGACTCTAACGTTATAGGTTATCATGAGTGCACTTTAACAAAACTAAACATTAATTCTAAAAGTGGTAGGAAAAACATATTCAGGAAGGTAAAATAAAGCAAAGAGAGAAAATATATTTCTCTCGCTCGGGCGTGCAGGGTTCCAGCCACAAAAAATTTAAAACTCTTTGTCTGTTTATTATCATCATATACATATGCCTAGTCTTCTTTGGTTTCATAGGCTTCCCTATTACTTTAATTGAGATATCAAGGTTGAATGATAAACATTTTTCCGAAACAGTTTTGAAAATTCCAGCGAAAATTTGAAGCTTTATGGGTTCGAGGAACTTTATACTTCTTTTGGTTTTTAAATGATACTAATTTTAACGTTGGATACGGTGAAGAGTGCGAAACTTCAATTTTTCTCACGAAATTTTGAAGTGACGTATTCATCCGCAGTGGTTATCTGCTGAGATACTGATGGAAGAAAAGGGGGATTTTATTGAAATAGTAAGCCTTCAAGGGCTGTTGAATGTAATAACTGTAAGAGACTGAAATAATTATGGTATTCGGTCACTATGTGTAGTATGTTGTCTATAGATACTTTGACTCACCGCCTTAGTCTACACCATAGAAACATGTTATCATTATAATGTGACCTTCAGTTTCACATATGGGAACAAACGGCTGATGGAAACGTTCAGGCTATTTTAAGGAGCACGTAAATGTCATAAGATTTTGTCGAACGATGAATTTGAGGATTTAGCCGCTTTTGATAGATTCAAAAAACAGAAACAGAAGGAAGGTTAAATTTCAGATTGGCAGCAGGGGAGAAAGATGTAACAATGATTGATTTCGTGTGATGGGGCTTCGGGAACCTACGATTCTGAAGCCTCCATGGGTAGGACGAAAATTCACTTGAAGGGTTTTATCGCCTTGTATAGAAATTCATTTGGTTTACCAAACAAGTGGACTGAGCTTAGTAATATAGTAAACAAGG